TCCTGACCCTAACCAAGGCAGGAGGAACAGGTCAGAGGAAGCAAATGTCATTTTCTGGAAGGAGAAATGGTAGACAGAATCCATTTGACTTCAAGAACTGATGGGCAGGAAAATAATAGGGAGCCAGTCTGGACTCATAACACAGAAGCCCTCTCAAACTGACGTGTCCAAAGTGTGAAGCAGCTCTATGGTGGGTGGAGAGATCCCTATCACGGCAGGAACAGAAACAGAGACTGGCTGGCCTTCTTGTTAGTGCGCATTACAGATCCCATAGTGGACCCTTTACCTCTGTCACTTTTACTCCTACCCTTTAAGAGAACAATCCCGACATGTAACTTGCATTTGAAAAAAATGAAGCCATGGAAGAATAATGACTTGTTAGTCATCCACTCATCTATCCATTTATCCATCCATCCATCCATCCACCCACCCATCCATTTGTTCATCCAATGCATTTCACTGAGTACCAGTATATGCTAAGATCTGGGAATAATACAACAGTGCTCAAAATAAGCACAGTCTTTGCACTTACGTCACTTAGAGTCTAGCAGGGAGATAGACATTAAACATGTAAGCAGACTATATATATATATATATATATATATACACACACACACACACACACACACACACACACACACACACACATATATGTATTTGTAAGTTGTGATGAGTGCTAGGAAGGAAAAGTACAGGGTTTAGTGAGAGTGGAAAATTAGGGATATACATTAAAATAGAGGTCAGGATGATCTTCTGAGGATATAAGGTTTAAGATGCCATCTTAAAGATACTTATCTGTTAAGATATTTATCTGCTAAGGAGACACATATGGAAGCCAAAGCATTTCAGAGAGAGAGCAAGATGAGCAAAGCCCTAAGCTTGGGAGGAGGTTGATGTGCCTGAAGAACTGAAAGAAGACCAGCATGCCAGAGTGTAATAGAATAATAAAAGGATAGAAGCTTAGAGGTGGCTGGAGGGAGGAAGGGGTCAGATCATGCAGACAAGACTGGTGGGGTAAGGCCTGTGGGTAAGAAAAAGTAGCAAAATGAACAGATGAGTGCAGGAAGGGAGTCACGGGGAGAATTAGGAAGACAGAACATCAATGGGTAAGAGAACTTGGATGGAATTGGGCATCAGTTTCTCAAAGGGGGATTGACCAATGTAGTTCTAGAATTGAACGACTAGGTCAGAAACAATTTTCCCTTGGCCTGCTCTGTCTCAGCCAGAGGACATGAATTGAGATACTTGGGTACCTCCTTTAGCAGCTGCAGTCTGGGGCATCTTCTACCAGATGGGACCTCCCATGGGAAGGGTTATTTTCTCTCTACTTGAGCATTAGCACCTCTAAAGTCTAAGTCCCTACCCCAAGCTTCCACATGCTCCATTTTCTCAAGGATCACCTTGAGCACCTGTGGCTAACATCTTCAATCTGCTGCCTATGTTGAGCCCATCCCTCATCTTCCAAAGGAAGGCTATACACTGTTAATGGTTCTAAATGATTCCCCTGCTCACTCGCCCTGTCTAACATTTCCTGTTCTAATGATAAGAACAAAATCTGATTTTTAAATTGCTCTTTTTTGCTCTGTGGCTTTCTATTGTCTTCCTTTCAGAGTCTGAATAATAGTTTTAAATCCAAACCATCACTTAATGCCTGTTTACCTACTGGCTGCAGTTTTCTCTCTATGGCTCTGATCAGATCGATTCCCAGGTCTAGAGTGTATCAAGCAAAGTGCTCAAAATGTCTTTTAGCTCTTATATTCAAGGCAATTCCCTTGCTTTTTGCTACCCTAATCAAATGTCCTTATTGGATTAGGTGGTAGTAACCTCATAAAAAGGGGAATTTTGAACACAGTCAAGCACACAAGGAGAATGTCATGTGATGGTAAGGCAGTGATCAGAGTGGTGCTTCCAAAAGCCAAGAAATGCCAAAGATTTGCCAGCAAACCACCAGAAGCTAAGAGACACACATAGAACAGATTCTTCCTCACAACACTCAGAAGGAACAAAGTATGCAGACACCTTGATTTCAGACTTTGGACCTCCAGAACTGTGAGAAAATAAATTTGTGTTATGTAAGCCAACCAATTTGCAGGACTTTGTTACAGCAGCCACAGGAAACTAATACAGGTCCATTACTTTGCAACCCTCCAAGCTGGGCAGTACTAAATTAGATCGAGTTACTAGTAGCAACATTACAGAAAGGAAAGCATTGGAGACACATGCTGGAGCCAGGTGTGTGTCTAATATTCTTGTGTAAGGGGCACTAGGCTTGGGGTCAAGTTAGAATGATACTGAATGAGTGCTTAGGGCTGTTACAACTGGCAACCATCTGGTCATAGACACTGGCTGGACTCTCCGGGGTCAGGGACCAGACAGCAGCAAGTTGCTTCATCACCAGAGTACTGGCCTCGAGTCTGACATATGAACTTCAGGGTCTGGATGCCTTCCATTAGACCCATGAAGCAGATGCCATGATGACAGAGAGAGGGAAGAGCCTTGGGGGAGACTGATGACCCATCTCTGGGACTTTGTATCCTTCCAAAGTCTGTGGGATTCTCAGTATCTTCCTCTGTTAAAAAGAATACTGTTTTCAGCAAGTCTGCCTAGAGGAAATTTGATCCAGGTGGTCAGGAAGGGATGGGATAAACAGAATATTGATTCCCAGCTTTAGGTTCTTGATAAAAACTCCTCACAGGCAGTGGACAGATTTATAATAGATAGGGTTTGCCTTTAATCAACCCTAGATACTCTAAGCATAGTACCAGGCACCAAGTAGACACTCATCAAACACAGGTCTGCTTCCCTTTGTCCTACGCTCCCCAAGCATCCTTCTAACCTGATGTGGTGAGAGGGGATAACTGAACAGTGTCCAACTGGCATTCTGTACTATCTGGTTCTCTGCCCCATTCCCAAGTGCCACTGGAGCCTCATTTCTTTGGGCTCAAGTGTTGGATCTTACCGAATTAGAAAACCAGGATGTGGATGCTCAGATTCCCCAATACGCTGACCTCTCAGAAGCCTGCCTGGGCTTGGACAGCCGGGAATTCACACTCATTCATACATTCCTGTCCTTTCACACATGCTCACTTAACCTGCATACACACTCCATTCACTTAAGGAAAGATGGCAAAAGATGGTAACCTAAAGCTCAGGCAAGAGGGGAAGCCCTTATGCTAAGGAGAGGGAGAGAACTCTTCTGTCTGGTTCTTTAAATGTCACTGCAATTCTCTTGCACATCAGCAATGCAACTCTAGAGAAGCCCAGCAGGGTGGGCTTCTATGCCTCTGAGGACTGCAGTCCTGAAGTTTTCAGGAGAGTATAGTTTTAGAGATTCTCCCACTGTCCCCATATGTTCCTACTGCTTGTCAGGCCTCACGTTTTCAATTCTCAGTTCAGAAATTATGACCCAGGCAGCTACCCTTTCATAGAGCTTACATCCCAGAGGGTGTCCTTAGAATCCCACCTACCCCATGGAGTGCAGATCCATTGCATCCATCTCTCCTGGTCTATGAGTCAAAAGCCACTGAGGAGCCATAGAGCATACCATAGTGAAGGAGTTTTGTCTGAATTTCCTTCCCGCTACAGCTGCTTTAAAGCAGGCTGCAGACACCCAGCTGTCCCAACTGCTGTCTAGAGCCCTAGTGCTACCCAATTGATGGTGCTCTTCCTTCTACATTATCTGTTTTCTTCAGTGGAAAAGTCTGCCAAGACCTGTGATTTGTGTCACTTTTGTTTGCAGGCCATCAATTCTCCTTGCCTCGCAGAGAGTATTTTATCTCTTTCCATCCAGGAGCCTGAGTTCCTGAGAGGGAACAAGTTAGGGACATGCCACCCTCTGTGACTTATGTGAAATCAGGGTGACTTCTTATCACTGGGAGCCCTAGTGCTTCTGTTTTCTTCTTCCTCCTGCATCTTCTCTCTTGTGCTTAAATATTGGGTTGATTTTATTCAAAGTTATAAAAGTCATGCGTGATGGGTCTTGGTGCACATTTTGTCAAGTAGCTGTAGATTTTTTTCTCTCTTTTTCCCCCCACTCTGCCCACGTGTGTGTGTATGTTCCTCTGTGTGGTTTTGTCCATTGTGCATGTGTCTATATATTTACACACATACACATACATACTTGGGTCATCACTTTTGTCTGTACTTTACATCTATGAGTATATGCCTACTTATGTTTACAACTTTTATCTCCTTGGAAGCAGTCTATGGAACTATATATGCCGTCAGTAAATTCAGGGAACAGAGTAGAATTGTCCAATTTTTGTGTGTGTGTATGGGGAGGTTTGCTGTTAAAAACATCAACTCTGTAACAAAAAGATAAATCTGATTTCTAACTATTCAACCCTGTAATAGGTTAAATGATAGCGAACGATTCATTGATTTTGTTTTTTAAAAAGAGTAATAAACAGAAACATGTACCAATTGAAAGAGCCAGGCAATTCAATTATAATTAGGAAAACAAAAGTGATGAGCCTGAACAACGCTGCCTTAGTTTTGGGGATAAGTGTTGAAAATGCCAACTACATAATAATGCAGCATTTGTCTTCTTATTACTAAAGGCCCCAGTACTAATCACCTCATTTTTGAAAGCTGTGTACCAATTGAACGAAGTACAAAACTCAGTAGATGGGTCTAATAGACATGCTTTAAAAATACCCACATAAACATAGACCTAAATATAAGAAAAACATATATGAAAAGAATATTTGAGCAAATTTATATCCATCATTCCACTGATCAATGTACCAGTCCATCCTTATATAGATTCATCCACCCATCCATCCATTCAGTAAATATGTGTTAAACTTTTACTCTGTTTTACGCACTGCGCTACTAATATACACCCTAGAAGGTATGTTCTAGATGCAAATGACTCCAGTGAAAATAACAATTCTTTCTGGTTTTGAGTTATTGTTGCCTAACCTTTCTCTGTGTGGCTAGAAAGAAACACTTAAATGATTGAAGAACAGGTGAAGACAGACAAGCAGATGCCAACATACCTTTTGTAGCCAGACGAACACAGTTGATTTTGGTCTCCTGTGAACAACAAAAATGAGGTGGCAATTAATTAGCTGTGAATTATGTAAAATTATTATATAAAGACAAATACACATATATATTTGCATATATATGCATGCATATGTATTTTTAATTATAATTTTAAATTTGCCCTTTCCATTTTTTCCCCCATCGGATCACCTTTTAATTCCATTTTTTAATTTTTTTCTCAGGGTAGGTACATATGTTATTCAGTTCACTTCCTGGCTCCTACCATCTCATAAACCTCTTTCCCAGACAAAACCACTTTATAAACATATCAGATAATTCCCAGCACTCATCATCTTCAACAATAACACTTAGTGGGTACCTGGGGTATGCAGTGTGCTTTGTTAAGTTGCATGAGTGAGCAGATGGAAGCAGGGCATCCTTGGGAAACTTTGTTACCAGCAATAATGCATCTAGATGCATAGAATGAAGAGATACTTGGCAATAGTTCAGTCTATATGAAACGTGCCAAACTCAAACTGCAAAGTTCATGTTCAAAAGGTACTTTTCCCCTGAGCTCTTGTGTGGGCCTCGCAGCCTTCATAAATAATGTGTGTGGCAATAGAATCTTTGCCAGGTGAACTATCTAGTTGTTGTTAGCTGTTTCCAAAGTAAAAAGGATCCATAAATGTGTGATGTTGCTGGGCACGCAGTGGAGTTAATGAAGTGTGCTTAGGAAGAGAATTATCTCTGCCCATTTTACTGGGATTCATCTTTCAGGAGGTCCTGGAGCCAGTTGAAAATTCCAGTTGACTAAATTATACCCCCAACAACAGTCTGAATTCAGTGTAGCAATAAAAGTAAAATGCAAAGAATGCAAGTATGTGAGTTGCTGAACCAAAAATCTGTCAATAATCCAATTCTTGTCTTGCTGCAGCTCATTCACAAAGAACCATGCATCTTGAAGGCAGTGGTGGCAATCAGGATAGAAAAGGTTAGGAGGCCATAATAAAACCCATGAACTTCAGTGGTTGAAAACAGCAAAGGTTTATTTTCCATTCAAACTACCTGTCCAATGTAGGTGTGTGGCTGAGTCTAAGGGGTGGGAGTGGGGGTGACTGGGAGACATTCTGACCATTGTAACCACTCAGAGATCATAGCTGGTATGTCCATTGTAACCCAACGGGAGAAAGAGTGCTAATGAGTAAAGCACTATCAATCAAATGCTTTGAATCAGAAGCGACACTTTCAGTTCTATGCATGTTTTATTGGCTAGAACCTAATAATGGCCATGCCTAATTTTAGTGAGATGGGGAAATGGAATCCTCCCATGTATCCAGAAGTAGAGAAGACATGACAATGTCTACAGTAGATTCTATTCCAACTAGTAATGCTGGAAATGATCACTTCTATTACGTCCAAGTATGACTCCCCATAATTAATCTCATAGTTATCACCAATAGTCTTCATTCTCTTCCTCAGAATGCACAGAAAGTCTGCTTTTGCTTGTGTAAAAAAGAGGTCTGGACAATGAAATATGGTTCTCAGGCTCATAAACATTCTTCTTCATCAGTTCCTCATATTGTAAGAGTTCAAGTCTTTCGAGCTATCCTAGCTGCTCATTCTAGGACAAACACCACTTTGTCCTCTTAATGTGCAGTGACTAGAACACAAAACAGCAGTCTATACATGTTCTTATTGATATATGATTATCTAGACTGTCACTATTATCCTTACTTATATTGGGCTTCTATTAACATAGGCAACATCTTAGTGTTTATCCATCTCCCCTAAGCAAAAATAAAAGTATTGGTTATAAGTCTGCCTCTACATGTACGAGTGTGACTCTATTTTTGAAACCCAAGTAGAGAGTCATATTTACCACTATAATTTCCATCTTTTTCAACTGATCCAAGTACTACAACCCATCATTACAGTCTCCACAGCTGAAAAATTTTAGAAATCAATTTTTTCTTTAATTTCATCCAGATCATTAATATAAGTAACAATCTGGATAATGTCAATGGTAGAACCTTATGACATGTCCTAGATTCCTTCTTCCAGGTTGACATTCATCTGTTAATCAGAATCTGAACTAATATCATAAACTGCTTATGCATTGAGCTTGAGAATAGGTTCAAATTCCTTTTAGACACTGATACTCTGTCTACTGCATTTCTCCAATCAGTGCAAAGACTGTCTTAAAGAAAGAAGGTTGGGTTGACATGACTTGTTCTTTGGAACAAGTGTTTTCTTATTCGTAAATACTAAAAGTGTCTCTCTTTAAAACAAACAATTATTTCCTTTTATAAAGTAGATAATTCAGAAATGTTAAAAAACATGACAAGTCATGGTTCAAATATATGAATCATTCATATAAAATCTTCTCACAAAATTTGAAGCCTGTTATGTTTCAATAACAAAGTTTTTTAAAAGAACATACCCAGAAGATGAAAGAAAAGAAAAATGGTGGAGAAAAAAAGTAATAGTAAAGGATATTGCTCTAAATGAGATGTACAAAAAGCTTAAGTTACACGTCAAATCTTGCATATGACAATTAAAGTGAGCAAACTCATTTCTGTTTTCATGTTTGGACAAAGCTTTTAAGCTCCTGTTGGCTTCCATTCCAACAGCACCATACTCTGTGTTTTGGTTTAAAGAGCTTGAGATGGTTAAATAAAGCATGAAACCCAGAACACTGAGGAAGACATGCAAATGATTGTGCAGTGTCACAATGACTATCATTGAGAAATTGTGTAGACTGGGAGAGATGCCAGCAGACTGTAGATGGTTAGAATGATCTTCCACTTCCTGGTAATACAACAACAACAAAAAATGATTTTGAAAGTAATATATTAGAAAACTTGCCAATTCTGTGCATGATTGTTGAATACAGCAGAGGGCAAAGGTTTGATGAGGCTAATACTGCTGAGAGTAATTTGTAAATACGTATCTTCACTTTAAAGAAATTCAGTCTTATCTGTCTAGATATCTAAGAATCTTTTCTCAGGGAATAACTTTAAATATAAATGAAGCTTTATATTCAAAGATGTTGGTTCCAGTGTTCTTTATAAAAGTGAAAATCATGAGTGATGTATCTGTCTAACCACACAGGCATGGCAAAGAAAGCTGTGGTCTCTCTTATTCAACACAGTACTGGAAATCCTAGCCAGCGCAATTGAGCAAGAGAAAAATTAAAGGGCATCCAAGTTGGAAAGGAGAAAGTCAAAGTGTCTCTGTCTGCACATGACACGACCTTATGTGTGGGAAAAACCCAAAAACTTTACCAAAAAAACCCTCCTAGAACTGTTAACCAAATTCAGTAAAGTTGCAGAATACAAAATCAACATACAAAAATCAGTAATGTTTCTATACATGAACAACAAACTACCTAAAAAAATACAAAAATCAGTAATGTTTCTATACATGAACAATGAACTACCTAAAAAAGAATTGATAAGGGAATCTCATTTACAATAACTACCAAAAGTAATAAAATACTAGAAATCAATTTAACCAAGGAGGTAAAAGACCTCTACAAGAAAAACCAAAAATACTGTTGACAGAAATTGAAAAGGATACAAGTAGAAAGATATCCCATGCTCATGGACTGGAAGAATTATTATTGGTAAAATAATCAGACTCTCCAAAGTAATCTCTATCAAAATATCAATGGCATTCATTATAGAAATAGAAAGAAGTCCTAACATTTGTATGAAAACTCAAAAGACCACAAATAGCCAAAACAGTCCTGAGCAAAAAGAACAAAGCTAGAGGCCTCACACTAACAGACTTTAAAATATACTACAAAGCTGTAGTAACAAAAACAGCATGGTATTGGCATAAAAACAGACACATAAACCAATGAAATAATATTTTAAAAAACCCCAAAATTAATGCACATATCTACAGTCAACTTATTTTTGACAAAGTCACCAAGAACACTCACTGGGGAAAGGACAGTGTCTTCAGTAAGTGGTGTTAGGAAAATCAATCATCCATATGCAGAAGAATGAAACTAGACCCCCATCTCTCACCCTATATAAAAATCAACTCAAAATGGGTAAGAGACATAAATGTAAGACTTGAAACTATAAAACTACTAGAGGAAAACATAAGGGAAATGGTCTGAAACCAAACATATGACACTGATCTAGGAAAATATTTTATGAATAAGACCTTAAAAGTATAGGCAATGAAAATAAAAATAAACAAGTAGGATTATATAAAACTAAAAAATTATGTACAGAAAAGGAAACAATAAACAGAGTATAAAGGCAACCTACAGAATGGAAGGAAAGTATCTGCAAACTATTAATCCCTCAGGGAATTAATATTCAGAATATACTAGGAACTCAAACAATTCAACAGCAAACAAAAATACAACTAAAAAAAGAATGGGCAAATGGTCTGAACAGACATTTCTCAAAAGGAGATACACAAATGGCCAACAAATATATTTTAAAATGCTCAATATCACTAATCATCAGGGACATGCCAATTAAAACTACCATGAGGTATCATCTCACCCTTGTTAGGATGGCTATTAAAAAATAAATAAATAAATAACAAATGTTGGTGAGGATGTGGGGAAAAGAGAACTCTTATACACTGTTGGTGGGAATGTAAACTAGTTAAGCCACTATTGGGAACAGTATAGAGGCTCCTCAAAAAAAACTACAAATAGAACTATTATATGATCCAGCAATCTTACTACTGGATACTTATCCAAAGGAAGATAACTTAGTATATTGAGGAGACATCTGCATCATGTTCTTTTGCAGCACTATTCACAATAGCCACAACAGGGAATCAAACTAGGTGTCCAAAACCAGAAGAATAAAGAAAATGTGGTATATATACAACATGGAGTACTATTCAGCCATAAAAGGATAAAATCCCATCATTTGTGGCAACATAAATGGAACTAGAGGACATTACAGTAAGGAAAATAAGCAGTAAATAGAAAGTTAAATACTTCGTATTCTCACTCATATGTAGAAACTAAAATAAGTTGATCTCATAGAAGTAAAAAGCAGGACAGCAGATAC